GCCGTTAGGCCCGGCCGGGGGGGGGGGCGCCCGCCTCGCCCCTCCCTCTCCATTTTATTTTACTTTTCTTTTGATGTTCTGCCGTGGTTTATGGGTTCTTGCCCTGCGGTGGGAGAGGGGGCTCCGAAAGGAAGGCCCTGCCCTGGGTGCTTCCCCGGGGGGCCCGTCCTGACGCGCGGGTGCTCCTGGGCCCCTCTCAGCAGAGCTGAAAGGCTTTAATGCGTGGGTAACCGCAGCCCCTCGTTCCTCAGGTGGGGGGGGAAGGCAGGTGAAGTTGAAAAATATGGTTTTGATGTACTTTCTTCCTGTTGCGTTGGCCATACCAGTGCAGCCAGGAGAATGAGCTGAAGGCTTCAGCCAGCGCTGGGAGCATCTTACTGGCTGCAAGATAAAATTATCTTCCAGGTTATACCTGTATACAGATAATGAGCTTTATTCTTGTCACTTGGGTCAGAATGTGCCCTGCTAAGTCTTGAAGAAGTCTTATATGAGATTAGAAGTCGAGATACCTCTTCCATATTTTTTTCACTCCTTTGAAAAGCAAATGTAACCTGCAGTTTTCTGAAAGAACTGTAAACACAAAATACTCAGCTGCACTGTCCATGTGAAACTTCTTTTTAAAATAGTTAACGCAGCTGACAGTCTATGTTGAAAAATCATTTTCAGCCTGACTAATCCCTTGACCTTCAAACTTCAACTGAATCAATATTTAGTTTTTGTGAATGTGGACATCTGGTCTTTAGAACTTGATATTTATGGCATTTATCCAAGTTACTAACATCATTGTTGTGAGTTTCCTAGACAAGTGACAATACTTATAAGATATATTTAACCCCCTTCACGTTCAGAAGTGAAGAAGGTCTTTGGGCTGCCTTAAATCAAATAAACACTTGACTGGTTGGGTTTTTTTTGTCTTAGTAAAATGGATGTAAAAGCTATGCCAAGACTCACATATGGGATTTCCTTCAGTCAGGTACACTGACTATGTTTGAAATGGAGTAAAGAATGTAGGTTTTCTTACGGTCACTGTGTATCATTGCGCATTCACAGTGCCTCTAAACTTTGATCTCGGTAAATGTCTCTAGGAGGACATATATTGTTTATCATAAATATGTTTGTATTTATACTCAAACTGTTTCTGTGGTTTACTTTTTTTTAAAAAAAGACTGCTCACTGCAGAAGATAATTATTTTACATTCAAGCTTGTAGTTATTTACAATTTTTCTCCTGCTTCTGCCTCAAATAATTTTTTTTTCCTTCTTCTTACAGCAATTGGAAGGCTTTGTGAAAAATGTAAGTATAGCTTCTACATACAGTTGCTTGAGAATATGGTGTTGTGGTTAGAGCATACAGTTTGGATTTGGGGAGTGGATTCTACTTTTGCTTTAACCATGAACTTGATGTCACTCTTTGAGATGGGAAGAGTTACTTGTGTGTTGCAAGTGTAAATCAATGAATACTTAACAAAGTTACGTGCTCAAATAGTTTGTCATACAAATGCATGCTGTTCTAGAGTAAATGTGTTTCCAGTAGCTGAGGCTACAGTGACTTCTTGATTGATTCCTTGTAATCTGTAATACAAAATGATCAGCCTGATCATTTCAAAGCAGAAAAAAAAAATGCATTTTTGAAATCTGACTTCTTAAACCTTGAGAAAGGTTTCCTTCAGCATCCAGGAGAATAAGAAATGGGGAGGGGGATGAGCAGACATCTAGAGTTAGAGCAAAAAAAAAAACCCCACAGAATCAAATACCAGTGCTCAACTGTACAAGAGATGAAAGAGTATGATCTGTCATTAGATTCTTGTAGGGGAACAGAACAAATGACTACTTTGTGACTCAGACATAGCATGAAAATAAGCAAAGTGGGGAGAAGCACAGTCTGAAGCAACAAGATTGTTTTCAAGAGCACTCAGCAGTAAAACAGATTTCCATTGGTAGTGGTGGAGGGCTGTCGCACTGGAGATTTAAGAGCAGGTTAGATGAGCTGTTTGTGGGAGTTGGGATTAGACGCCTTCAGAACTGGTCACAGGATATGAAGCCTTTCATCCCTAGGTCAGTGCTTTGGATAAGGCCCAGCACAGCACAGACTGTCACTGGCATCTGATGGCTGCCTGCCTGTATGATATGAGTACTTGAGTTTCACTCAGTTCCTTGTGAGAAAGCAAGAGCAACGTTTGTGAAATGGCTGTTTATGCCAGTTTGCCCTTTCTTTGGCCTTCTCACAGATGAAGGATTAAAAGGACCACGAGTACAATCTCTTATCTCATCTCTTTGAGGATAGTAACTCCAGACTTTTGTTGATGTGGCACTGTGGGAGAAGCTTACACTGCTGCTGCTGTGTAGGTAAGGACACTACAGTCCTGTCAGTCCAGCATTTTTTCACGAGTGAAAAATTCAGGAAAAGTTCTACAGTAAAAGTAATGATATGACCTAAGCAGGTGTTGGCTAATCACAGAAGTGACTTTGGGTTTCTTCTCTGATTGTGAATGCATGCTAAAAAAAAAAAAAAGAAAAAAAGAACTTGGATATTGCAGGCTACTGGCCCTTGTTCTTCTTAAGTCTGTGTGCAAATACTAAGTTTCACCCTGTGCCTGCAAAATTAATTTCTGCAGTTCAGTTGTATTGTCTTTGAGTGTACAGGCAAGTTCTTTGACTAGGAAGCTTTTCCTCTTCGATGTGGGGGTGGAGAAAAGGACGTTCTGTAACCAAAGGCTCTGCTGTACTTGCAGGTGATGGCAAATGTGTGATCTGCGACTCCTATGTGCGGCCCTGCACTCTCGTGCGCATATGTGATGAGTGTAACTACGGCTCGTACCAAGGGCGCTGTGTGATCTGCGGGGGTCCAGGAGTGTCTGATGCCTACTACTGCAAGGAGTGTACCATCCAGGAAAAAGATGTGCGTTGTCATCCAGTCTCCTGTTGAATCGGTTATGTTTTTATTTAGTAGCCATGCTTGTCTTTAAGGGGCTTGGAGCTAGTGAAATTAGCGTTGGGACATGGGAGACTTGGGTTCCACTACCAATATTGGCACTGGTTTTCATTACCTCGTACCTTTCTTCCCCTGTTGGTAGTTCCCTGTGTTTGTGAAGCGTTTTGAAGTATCGTAGCATTCTGAGGTTTTGTAACTCTCTTCATCCCGAAGGATCTTGGACTATTTTGCACTGCACATTCATGGTTCGCTCCCTCCCCACACTGCTTATTATAGCTTGAAGTTGTTACCTTGCTAGATCTCTCAGCCTAGGTTTTATCAGGGTCAGAGATGTTGCAAACACTGCAAAGGCAGTGGTAGGAGCAGCTCCTCACTAGAAGTCCGTTATCAGCTACTGACCAAGGGCACCTATGGTACTGTAAGGCCTTTGGAATCACCACCCGTGTTTTCTTTTGGATTACAACATAAAGTTAGATCTTAGTGTCCTGTGTCTACGCTACTGATTGTGTTTTACAAGCTTAAAGTTTCTTGTGTAATTTCAGTGGGATGTGATTTAATTTTTTTTTTATTCTTTTGTGAAATGGCCTGTATTGTAGACATCTATTTTTCTGCCAACACTTTTTGGTATAATGATCCCTTATTTCTATAGTCAGTGCTGTTTAATCTTCTTGTGCTGGAAGATAGCCCCTGTGCCTACGAAGTCTGGCAGCTGCCCTTGTAAGGTATTTGTTACAACGAACATGCTGCTTACAGTTGCAATATCCCCAGAATATGGACCTGATAGTGGTGAGAGTGTCTGTTAAAGGTTGTTTGGGTTTTGGTGCTTTGCAAATGCCATTTCCAGCACACCCTAATGACAGTGGAGAATGTGCTGAGAGAATGGTTCAGATTGATTTAGAGGAACATGCTCAGCTGAGTGAGCTGAGTTTAATTCTCTGCAGTGCCCACATTTTCTCTAGAGGCCTGCAGCTAAATTCAGGACAGGGGCAGGTCCTCATCTGAATTTAGTCATTAGATCTGACAGGACCATAATCTTTCTTAGTACCTAAATATGGATATAAGTGCTGTGATGGTGGTGCTGCCTCCAACTTCAGAAATGCTGTGAGAAAGTAGTAGAGAAAGTTGTAGCAGTTTTGTTCACTTGCCTTTGGAACCAAGACACCTGGCTTGATAAGTCATGAGTAAAATACTCTTGGTTTTGTTTTTACCAACTCATATTGACTCCCAACAGGTATTTTTTATAACCTACGCTCACCTGTATCTTACCATACCTGGTTCAGGTCTGAAATAGCCAGCTGCCCTACAAGGGCAGATTGTAGAAAATGTAGAGCTGGAGGAACAGGAGAATGACAAGTCAGAACTGAAGATATTTTGATGGCTGGGTGAAGGCTGCTGTGGGTGAAGACAGTTGTTCTGTACCAGCAAACTCAAATGTTAGGGATTATTGCAGATGTGAAGTTGCAGATCTGAAACAGCAGATTTTATGTGATTGACTTACGGGACTGAAAAGTGCTGGCACAGCTGTAGGGTGCCCGAATTGAGAAAAGTTAAGTGTGCTGCCTGTCACAATTACGGTAGCTGGTGCCGATGTGAATAAGAAAAGCAGATGGAGAGAGCTCTGTACCTGAAGCTCTAACACTCCAAGGTTTCCATCACAGCACTTCCATCATCTGCAGAGAAAGACTGGAAAAGATAGTGAAGCAAGAAAGCAAATACTGAAATGGAGGGAGGAGGTGGAATGCTGTTGGGCATGATGCAAATGGCCTGGTTACTCTTGGTTCATTTGTTCTGATGGACAGAGGAATGACGTTTTGTTTCACCTCACTTTGATCTATGGGTAAGGGCCAAAATCCCACTTTGTCACTGAGGACAGCTCTGAGTTGCAAAAAGTAATCTTTTCTTGGGGGCAGGAGCGTGCTCATATGCTGCCTTCTTAGGAGGAGGTGGAAGAATGAACAGAGCCCTGCAATAATGCTGTCAAGATTGTCACAGACTCCCTGGATCGTGGGAGGCGAGGCTTGGAAGAGTCCTACTATTGAGGTTCAAAATCAAATGAGGAGACAGTAGGGTTGTGGCAGGTGTATGGGGGAGGGATAATGTCTTCCCCCCCTCCCCTGTTATTCCCACCATGCAGGCGCTCCCCACTGGGTTGGATCTCCTGCACAGGAGCAGGTATCGGTGGGGCAGTTCGCGTGCTGTTTCTACAGCGGCTGACATCTGCCCAGAGGCTTTCTAAATCTAATCCAGTCAGGCTTCCACAACAGCCAAGGACACGGTGTTCCTCTGCCTGCTGGGCCCCTCGCAACTGCTGTTGCCAACCCCAACATTTTGCCCTTGAGTTATGCAGATCCTGGGCTCAGGTGGCCCACGGGCAAATGTTCCCTGGTACACTGAGAGGTACATCTCTGATTTGTGTTTGCAGCCGCACCTCTGAGGTGGCTCTCCCCCACTCCCCTTCTTGCTTTCTTGTGGCTTCTCAAGGTCTACTGGAATTCAGGTACAAGAGCTTACCCGTGTAGCTGCTGTGAATAGCTGTCCTCTCCCAAGATGACTGTACAGCCTCTGCAGTAATCAATCCAGGATGCAGGAAATCTGAGATTCAGTTCTGCTGTCACAGCTGAGAGGGGTCCCTAAACACGAGAATGGCTTGGTGACATCTAAAGCAACAAGGTTCTTTTTGGCTAAGGGGAGAAAGGTTATTCCTCTGGGTCCTATAAATCTTACATATCCTAATTTAGAAAGAATCCAGTCTTGAGACACTGAGCATCCTTTTCATTAAACTGCTGATGTTACATGAGCTGTTTTCCGTCTTCACCCTGAGGAAGAGAATGTCCTAGAGTAATGTTAAAAAGGCATCCATCCTCTTCTCTGTTCCACTCTTGCTGGTCATAACCAGAATTGGAGGGCAGTTTGTCTGCACAGGTGTGCAAAATGTGTGTTGAGGACAGGGTGAGGAGTGTGGGAACTCAGAACGTACAAAAACTATGTAAGTGATGATGATGTTCTGTTTGTCCGTCTCCTAACTTGCATCCTCTTTTCTTCTTACAGAGAGATGGTTGCCCTAAGATCGTCAACCTGGGCAGTTCCAAGACAGATCTCTTCTACGAAAGGAAAAAGTATGGCTTCAAGAAGAGGTGATCCTATCCGTACGTGGCTATACCTCCTGTCAGGTTGGCAAGAGGGTCTTGGAACATCTCTGGACTTCTACTGTTATTGAAAACCTGTTGTATTTTTTTCTAAAGCAGTACAAATTCAGTAGTATACTTGGGGTTGGAGAAGTAAGAGATTGAGTGGGGACTGAAACCTGATCAGAACTGGCTATCAGAAAGAGCAAATGAGGATTACTGTCTCTTGCCTTTTCAGAAGCAATGCTAGTAGCTGCCCCAGCTTGCTATAAAAACCCTGGTGGGCAAGTATTTACACATGGAGGAGACCAGCTCAGTAAAAAGCAAACGCCATTTCTGGTGTGGGGAAACACCTTGCGGTTGTTCTTACCCAGCCTCCTCTCAATTGTTTAAAGTCGCCCCACGCATCAGTATTGAGGAACAGAGTGCCAATCCCATGTGTCCGCTCCCTCCGCCTCCCTTCCTCCAGTATATTTCCATGCTGCCCTGTTTTGTAAGGAACCTGCTCATGGCTGGTGCCTTCCTAGGGAGAGCACAGCTGTTCCATGTTTTCTTTGACAGATTAGTCCAAGGCCCTTTCTTGTAACCGTTTCTGTAGGATGCATACCAATAAAGCTTCCTCTTTTTGTTGGTTTTTTTTTTTTTTTTTTTTTTTTTTTTTTTTTTTTTTTTTTTTTTTTTTTTTTTTTGTATAACAAGGATTTCTCTCTGGTTCATTCTGTGCCTAGCTTCTCTGGAGCTTTCTGGGGACATGCAGGATTAGCCCAGCTAGAACTGCACAATGGGTTATCTGGTTTCTGACAGTGTCTGCTTATGGCCATGTGACCTTGCTGCAAGGAGCTTCAGGGAGCGACTATCGCTTTTGTCTGCCTGTGATCCCAGCCACTGATCATTTTGTCCCATAGCGTGAGGATCGCTGAGCTTGTAACCCTTATCCCAGCTAATACGGCTGTGGATGTTGTTTCACCATGCAAACATCCAATCCCTTTCTAAAACCTACTAAGCTATTTGACTCGCTATCCTGTTCTTGTGAATAAGTTAAAGCCTTCCTTGCTGTAACTGGAAACCAACTATTGTGTTCTAGGCTATTAGCCGTATGCATGCTGAAAACCAGAGGCTGCTTGTTTGTCAAATACCAGTACAGGCTAAAAGCAGTTTGTTGGCTCAGCAGAGATCTGGGAACGGGCACCTTTATACAGAGGCAGAACTGAGTTCCCTACTAGTGCATGCACTCCTCAGACAGTTAAATTAGGGTCCTAGCTCAGCGTGCCCTGTAGTGCTTAAAGCCTTCATAGTCTGAGCAGAGTGTGTGCTACAGCAACGGAATTCTCTTTGCGCGGTCTTGGGGTGCAGAGCCTGTTTTGTGCCACTTCCAGGATTTCAGTTGTTCCCGGGAGGTTCATACTGATTCCTCTGGCTTAAGTGCCTCTTCCACCTGCTCCAGCCATTTCAGGGTTTCAGATAAGAGTGAAAACAGGCAGACAAGTTGTGATCATCCTTCCCTTAAAAGTCATTTCTTCCTGCTGCAGCTGGCTCTAGCTTTGACTGGTCCTACAGCTATCTCAGCTGCTCCTCCCTCTCTTCCCCCCAGCTATTAATTCTGTCAGGCTTCTCATCCAAGCTTTTTGCAGTCCTGACAGTATCTGTATGTCTTCTTCCCTGCACCATGGCTCCCTTACACAGCTTCTGGTTAATTTTTACCAACATGGATGCCATTTGGCAAGGTGTTCAGAACAAACTGGTTCTTTGGTTCCAGCAAACCCACTCTCTCAAAGGAATTCTACCTGAATAAGCAGCTGCCTCTTGTTCCTGACTGAGAAGCCCGTGTCTGAGCTGTTCTCAGCCATGTTAAATTCTGTATTTCTTTAAAAGCAGGGCATGACATGCAGGTTTTTTTCTACCTGGAACTTTATCATTTCAACCAGAATTTATCACTTACTCTCAGTCAGGCCGCCCAAATTATCTCACTAGGAGTGCAGAAGGTTTATACGTATTTTTTCCTTTCCCAGAAGTTCCTAAGATAACAGAAGCTGTTTGGTGAAGGTAGAGGGAAATGAAGTTTGAGTTATTTCTTTTGTCTCTTGAGTTATTGCCCCTGGTGCAGGGACTCCTAGAAGATCTAACATTAGAGCGGCCCTTGTTCCTGATCATTTAGCAGATCGTCCAGGCAGGGGTTGCTATAGAGATACGAGTGTCCCCATCCCTTCCCCCACCCCCAAAAACGGCTGAGCGTACTTAACTTTCTTGGCACTCCTGGTGCCCTCACTCTGACCGCTGGGTATATCGGTCTGCGTTCTGGCAGCAGTGAGAGCGAAGCTGCCATTTCTAGTTGTTCTCAGTCGCTGGGCAGGTGGAGAGAGGGAGGGACAGCCTTTTTCCCCTTTGCCTTGTTTGCTCAGACAGCTCTGGGGAGAACGCCAAATGCTGCCGGTGCGCAGATCAGTTCAGCGCCACTGCCTTTCTGGTACTTTCAGAGCACGGACGGGACGTTGCCCTGAAGCCACGAATTCAGACAGGGGGTAATGGGTACAGTTGGGTAACCCAGTAAGACTCGGCCTTGCTTGCGTGGTAATGATTTCTGTTCACCAGCAAATGAAACCCAGGCAGGGCCTCTAGAAAAGTGTGATGTTTCTTACCTAAATAAATGTTAAAGTACTTGTCTAGTAGAAGGAGATTTCCTGGCAGGACTAGAGACCAGAGCACACGCTGACAGGGCGAGCTTCCCTGTGGGTGTGGTGAGGGTGACAAGGCGCATCCCCCTGCTGTGTGCCTGCCAGGCTCTGGAAGGGCTTCATCAGACCTCGGAGCCTGAAGCAGACGGGTTTTGGGGGCTCCCTGGCTGCTGGCCGTGGAGCACTTGCGTGACAACTGCAAGGACGGGTGGGAGGGACGGCTGCGGCTCTGTGGCAGCTGAACCCCCTATGGTGCTGCCTGCAGATCCTAATTGCGTGGAGCTAAGTGTGTCTTCCTGCCATTACTTTTCTAGGTAAGGTTATAACTTTTTTTTTTTTCTTCTTTTTTTAATCAAAAGGTTGTTATGTAATGAGTTTAAAAAAAAAAAAATCCCTTTATTTCAAATATTTACATTGGGGCGGGGAACATGGGGCCTCTTGGCCTATTAAGTAATTGACCTCTTTGTTGCCAGTGCTAACGAGGCATCGCTGGCGTTCTGAAATGTACATGTTCCCCATCACACAACTCTTCAGACCAACTACCAGCCACAGCTACAGCCGAGCTCAGCAAATAGCTCCGTAACACACCTCTGGTCCTTTGAATCATCTAGACCTTGTCTTGACCAAGCCCTTGAGGTTAAAGTGTTACTGTTCTTTAAAAAAAAAAAAAAAACAAACCAAAACCCCAAAGGTAGGCAAAGGCCTTGAGTCTGCCTGTGAGCTGTCCCTGCGGGAGTTGCATAGACAAAATCCTGCTTCTGAAACCTTATCTGCGCAGGAGCTGTTATTTTCTCCTTACGGGGAGATGTTCACCCGTTTTCAATGGCAGGAAAGAATTTTTCACTTCCTTGTGGTTGTCAAGTGACTTGAATGTAAAGAGGATTCAGGGTATGGCGGTTAATTAGGCCCGATTATAACCTGACTGCCCTTCCCTGGCATTAAATAACCCAGCAAAACGAGCTCTGTCCTGGCGGCCTGGTGATTCCTTCCCTCCCTGAGCACACGTGATTCGGTAGCTTTCCTTTGACGTAATAGCCAAATGGCTGAGAATGCGTGAGCGGATACTGTGACAGAATTCCTCTGCCCACATGTGTACCGGGGCAACGCGATAATTAAAGGAGCACGGTCAAGGCGCAAGTATTTTAAAGAGCCCTAATGTGTAACACCCTCGTAGCAACACCTTATTAAAACAACAACAGAATTTTAGAAATGTAATTGCCTTTTTTTTTTTCTTAATGATGCTAAAAATACCATAGTCATTTTAATTTCCTGATCTCTGGCTGACGGCATGATTTTGTTTCCAGCAAAGCAAGGGGGGTATTAGCAAAAAAAAAAAAAAAAAAAAGCGTTTTTTTGTAACTAAATTCCTGGTAAACTAGGAGTGATAAAAATAAGGCCGCTCATAATGGCGCTCATGAATCTTCCCCCTTCTCTTCCTCCCCCTCCCCCTGCAGAAAAGAAAACAACTTCAGAAGTTGTTGGGGTTTGGGGTTTTCTTTTAATCAGTGGGAAAATGACCCAGCGTGGCTGCTGTAGCACTGTGGCTGGGAAGGACGGCATTAACGGATTTCTTAACGTGTGGCGTTGACCGGCTTCAAAAGAAGTCCTCTTCAGTGGCAAGGGCAGAACCTGAGGTGAAGGGTTCCTGAGTGGGGGGAGGACAAACCGAACCCAGAAAGATGCCAAGCCTCTTTGTGGAAAACGTTGTATTTTTGCACTTGGGAGTCAGTGGCTACGGAGAGTTACCAAACCAGAGGGACACGGAGCAGCTCAGGAAGAGACTGTGGTCTTTGTCACTTTTGGAAATGGGCGATAGATTAAACATTCAAACAGGACTCTCTATTCTTGAGAAGATCCGATTCCAAGACTGAATGTGACTCCATGATGGGATTTTTCACGGGAATTCTTCAGAACAGAGACAAACAGAACATTTCACAGGCCAGGCAAGCTACCCCCGCTGAAACAGGGACCGCGGTAGCACTTGGGTCACCGAGACCGGTTCTCCCTCCCTGCTCTGCTTGTGTCGGCTCCGAGGAAGACACCTGAGACGTGGCTGGGAGAGCCTGGGAACGCCGCTTCTCGTGTCCCGCTTGTCTGGAGCTTTACTCGGACGAAAAGCTGCCTTAGGTCTGGGCAGCGAGAGCCCCTTTGTGAGTGGTGTCTGTCCGAGGTGACGGCCTTGGACCGCAAAATAGCGCGGCCTGCGGCTGCCCGTGGGGATTCTCTTCGTTCTCCTCAGAACGGGGCACTAGGTCTGGGTTAAAATGCGGAGCGCGGGGCCGCGTGCGCTGGCAACTGGCTCCCTTGAAACACGTATGGCGGCCGGATACGCTTCTCCCTGCGCCGCTGC